ATGTCTTCGGATTTAGTTCAAATTTCGGTATTAGGAGAGCCCCGCACCCAGTGGCTTTTGCGAATTTTCCCGGCTGCCATACACCCGCAAATGGCCATCGTTTCGTTGGCTGGAGAGGGGGGATAATGAAGGGCTAAGGGCTTCTCTTAGTGTATGATCGAATGAGGACTTGTGAGGGGTGGTACTGTTTGAGGGGAGCTGTATGGGAGGCATAGGAGGGGATATACTACTGGTATAGGTATCCTTGGCCTGTAGGCAGAGAGGACCTGCATGTCCTACATAGTCATAGACTCAGACAGGACAATAAAATGAATTAATAATAATAATAATAATCCCTCCCGGGAGGAGGGCAAGACTGAACACCTGTACACAGTGCCGTCTACGAACCTAGGAGTGAAATATTCTCCCAGAGCCAAATTCAGTCAAATTTCGCAATATCAAAGAAGTTGGCCCACGAGGCAATGATTCAAAGTACTCCACCATCTCAATCTTTCACTCCCAACGGAATCGATTCCTACCTAAGCCTCATCAAATCTACAAGTACGACCAAGTACATCCTCATCCCAATGACCACACCTCTCTTTGACTTTCTCTGGCCTCAGCTGGTCGCCAGATACACGCCCATGCCGATATTTACACCCGCTGGAGGAAGCAAAGCGTGGCGCACAAATCGGGAAGATAGTTCTTTGGCATGGACGTGAGAGGGACCAGTACGAGTTCATAAGATGATGCAAAGGATGGATATATTCTCGACGGGCGTGAAATTTCGAATTTTGGCAAAGAGTTTTTAAAAATTGAGCTTTGTGCGCGCCAAGACTTCGCTTGCGAGAGTACAGCTGACACTATAAACACAAGCCAACGATGGAAGGTGTTGTGGTCAGCCTCCTGGTGGTGTTCTCTGGTATAGTTTGAGTAGCCTCGGTACCTACTTCACTTGGTAAGGAGACACCAAAGACCATATGTTGCGCGGATAAAGTTGAATGGATGATGGAGGCATGTCTAGATAACCTAGGGTTTTTGAGACGTTCCCCTGGGTGGATATTCACGGATGAGGGTTGACTTGAGGTGAAGAAAAAGCCACCATAACTTCACAGTGGTACTTGCAAATGAAATCCGAGGCATGAATGCTCTTCCTTTAAGTTGAATCATCTATTCTGGACTTTTCTTTGATATTGTGTCATAGCTAGATAGCTGCATACGCAATTAAAATCTGATGCAAAAATAATCCCTCCCGGGAAAGTCAAGGCTTATTGGTTCCCAAACCACTCTGATATATTGGGTAACGTTTTGGCCGACGCCTCTGCCCGGGAGGGGCTTTCAAAAACCCCGCCTATACCCCGTGGGTACATTTCTTTTGATACCGCGAAAAATCGCATCAAGGCAGAAGTATCGACGGCTATGAAAGACTACTGGGATCGACATGCCCCAGTATCCTACAGGGAGCTTGCCATTGACTCATACTCTCGTAACCCTAAGGTACTCTCACTAGCCAGACCATTTCTCTCTAGACTATACGCTGCCCGCTCAGGACATGGTGACTTTGCAGAGTACTACCGCCGTTTCAATCACGAGGGCGCTAACCTTCATTGTGGCTGCGGACAGCTTAAAGCCCCATTGCACTTCCTAGAGTGCCACCTAACCACTCATAAGCCTCCTCGGGCTCCAGCATCTTCAAGGGACCCAAAGAAATTTTTGCTAGGAACCTGGGAAGGGGCCCTACGCGTAGCAAAGTGGCTTTCTATTTCAGAGTTTTACATAAAGATCTGCCCTAGAAACCCCAGAGAAGAAATAAATAGGTCTTCAACTCTGCCCCAACTCTGAGCATTGCATTATTGATGGATGGTGCGGTATTTATGAATGGATCTATTAGTAGTACCTCGAGAGTGGTTGTTATACATCAAATGAGTAAAGAGCCTCGGGGACTGGCTGTAAAAGTGCAGGTGCTGTGCTACACGCAATCATGTAATTAGAGAATTGCCCTACAAACCTGGTTAGGAAGTGGCAAGGGCGAAGACATCAGGGCAGTAAGCACTGGCGTCCATGCCTCTAGTTAGTTTAGTGAGTAGTAGGGACCTAAGTCAAGCTCGGCGCTCCGATGGACGGAAAATAGAAAACAAAACAAACGCACATTCCGAGAAATTTGAAAATTCATATTTTCCCTCTTTCCTCCAACCTCGATCTCGTCGCATTCATCATCAAATTGTGATCGAGCGTAAGCATTTTCACCATGCCTCCAGTTCGCAAAAAGCGTCCCAACGCCAAGTTGGACAACACGAGAGTCCGCCCGAGGGCTCTCGATCAATTATCTGGCCTTGTCCAGTCTCCGAAATGCGCGGAGATGAGCAAGGCCTTAATGAAAGGGAAAGGAAAAGCCATCCCCGCCATCGCCGAGCCCGATACTGACATGGTCGGGTCAGTTGAAATTATTGAGGAATTTTCCCAACTATCCTCCGTCCCCCACGGGACTGGAGAATCGTCAAAATCTCCTCCGTCAGCGTCAAAACCGTCGGAAAACGCTGCAGACAAAGCAGCGCCAAAATCAACGTCGCAGCCCAAAGCTGCCACGAAAGCATATTGCCCTCTGGAACTTCGACCAATTGTCGAAGCCGAACAACGACGCGCCGCCGAAACAGCGGCAAATCTGGCCCTCTATTCCGCCGCCATCTCTGGCATCGAAGCAACCCTCCTCCCTTTGACCAACGGGTCAAATAGACAATTCGTAGACTCGATGAGAGTCTACCTACGCGCCGCTATCGCGCAATACATGGCCACGGGCCCGGCCACTACGCCACCTGTCCTCCCTCCTCGCCCTGCGAACCCGATCCCAAGGGCTCCCGACGCCAGGAGCAATACAACTCCCGCCGTCTCAGTTCTGCCTGTAAAAAGCACCTGGGCCACGGTGGCCAGAAACGGACTGCGAAGGCTGTGCCGCGACCTGCGGCCAAAGCCTTAAAGAAAGAAGCTCCCAAGGCGAAAGTCGACAAACGACTGTTCCTTCGCCTGGAAAAGGAGCACCCTTGGCGCCAGCTTTCGACTCTCGGAATAAGGCAACAACTACAGATCAAGCTGGAGTGCACCCTGAGTGACGCCTGCACTATACACCGTGTCAGAACCGGCTTTGCTATTCTGACAGGGAATGCGAAAATAAGGGAAGAGCTCCTAGAAGCTAACCCGAAGTTAGCGGAATTCAACGCCATGTTCGGGGAAGCCTCCAACCTTGTCGCCTTTCGGATCGCGAACGTTCCAGTGACTATGAGAACGGTCGGCGGTATCCATACGACCGATGCGGAAAGGATAACATATGAAATATACAGGAAAACGCAGCAGTTCCCAACCCAGGTGCTACCGCACGGGACATGCCGTCCTGGAGCGCAATACAGAAATTGGAAAGCCCTGTTCGCCCGGGACACCGCACCTCGCACGGGCTTCCGTGTTCTCGGCGAGTCTGGAGTGTCGACCATTCTATAGCCTCGTCAAAAAATCGAACAGTGCAAACGCTATTTAGGCTTCCACATCACCCGTGGTTGCTCCCGTGCTGCAGCTTGCTGGAGTTGCGGATCAAATATGCACTCGGAAGACGAGTGCAAGGCCCTCACCAAATGTCGCAACTGTGGGGAACCCCCGTCCAAAGAGCAGCTCGAGCGGATCCGTCACATCCAGCGAGAGGAGTTCGTGAAGGTGGCATGAGCTCGGGCAGCAGCTAAAAAAGCTGAAGAGGCGATCATCGCCGTGGCGAAGGATGTCTCTATGGCCGAGGCAACAGGTTTCGGAGTGTTGGAATCTGAAAAAGAAGCTTGGGGACACAGCAACCTCGACGATGTCCCCTTCTGGGACATCTACTAACTAATAGCAGGATACCGGCTGGACCAAAGGTGCCTGCTAACCCATCTTTTGCTCTCAGCGGAATTGGGCAAATTTGTCATTTTGAAGGTGTGACGGACAAGGGAATGTCTGAGGAGCACATTGCTTGGGTCCAATGTGAAGGAATCTTCTGGGTTTTTTTTCGGAGTTGTTTTGATTTTCTTGGTTTTTCGTTTCAGTTTAATCAGCTGCACTTTTGGCAGAGATTCACGAGGTTGGAAAGAATTAAGCTGTAGGAAAGATTACAGGGAACCCTAACGGCTCCACCGGTCCTTGAGTCAATGTGGAAAAGATAGCGTTAGATTAGGACCAAAAGAAAAAAACAAACTTTTAAAGTTTACACCTTGTTGAGATACACTTTGGTGCCCGGCGAGTTTCCACAAGTCGTGAATACTGGATGTTTTTCAGATAAGTTCATGTCCAAATATTTCTATTAAAGGGCTAGTATCGCTGCCTAAGGGCTTCATCAGTATTCATACTTCAACTACTTTTCGAAATAAAATAAATCTGAATAACTGCGTCAAGTTTACTGAATTTTGTGATAAATATATAATTAAATATTTAAGCAGGGAAATAATCGCGCTAAATGAAGTGCAAAAACATGCTTGTTTCCAAACTAAAAAATCTGTATTCAGCCACCTACCAATAATACATTATTATTTTTTGTGCATACTAAATAAAAAAATTTAAATTGGAAAAACCGTAACCCACTATTTATTTGCGAGAAAATAATCAGAGGCATGGTTGCGCCGTTGAACAGATTTGGCTTCGTAAGAATTATTATTATTACGTAAGTCGTTCAGAATTAGTAGCTCTGTGAATGAGGCGACGTAGCCACGGGGGTTGTATGTTGCAACTTGGTCGGTAGAAAATTCCAATTCCAGAATGTGCCTGGGAGCTATCAGTTTACATCATGTATTTTCTTGCTTTAATTGTAACAGCCAGTCCAACTGCTATTGTCTAATTAGACGCACTACGAAACTTTATCTGCTTTTTGAAGTCTGTACTTTTTGCATCCGTTAAGTAGACACAGGAAACTGCGGCGCAAGGTCCTACTGGACCTGTACTGGCTTTCACGTAATAACATAATCTTACCAGTATTAAGACTAATAAAAAGAGAAATAAGGTGATTCACGAGAATGATGGCTTTCCACAATGAGTCGATTGGGCCTGGTATTTCTCCTCTGGTTTCCTCTCCTGGCTCTCTAAGGGTTTACACTTATCTTTGCAAGTCGGATAACAGCTAATAGATTACACACTGTAGGCAAGACGCCTCCTAGATTGATTGCGGATTTGCTTGACTATAATCCAAGGCTAAAAAGAGATGGATACAATTTGATGACAGATCCGGCGCCAAAGTTTTGCGACGAAGCACTAAATCGAAGAAGCCCAAGTGATTGCAGACATAGGCTCATAAAAAAAGACAGTCTTCATACAACAAAACCGTCAAATAACGATGAGTCGAAATCAACGCAGCATGTCGAGGCAATGTGCTTGACTTGTAGATGTCACTTTAGTATCAACGCCGTATTTAGACCCACAGAGTTTGGTGGCGAACCTTGCAGTCTCTTCGAACCGCACTTTCCTATGCACCACTTTATCTTAACCAGCTCATCTCAGTCTGAGGAAAATATCAATCCTGCTGATGCAATCAAGTACGATGGCTTATATGAATGGTACGAATATAGTTGCTCCGCTCCAAATTGCCCAATCATTGTCAGTATTAAAATCTTATTTCCTCGACTCAGTAAGAGTTTACTTCTCCCGATTGAAGATTCTGAGCTATTAGAAGAGAGAGGAATTAGAGAAATTCAGAAAGATCCAGTGAGGTTTGATGGTGAACGTCCTGCTGAACCCATTACGGCCCTTTCTCATCTTAGATCGTACCTAAGTGATGCTTTGAGTTGCAAGGGAGATCTAAGGAAAATTTCAACCCGTAACAAAAAATTTAGGATCTCTTTTGCAGATGACTGTAATTATATATTTGAGTATCTGGATTTTAAGTTAGTTAGGGATACCCTGGAAGGGGTAAGTACCACTTCAATTAAGTCTTCGCCACGAATATCCAGGAAAAAAAGGATTCTTCTACTAATATCATGACAAAAGGATGAATTCAACACTTTTTGGAGACTTCCAAGGATAACGGACAATAACAAAAAGTTCATTGAAGATGCCTATTTCGAAATAACACTAAGGGTACTTACTCAGCCTAAGCACTTCGACATGCGCACATTTCCTACTCCTGTCTGTGCGATGAAGCACATAAGAATCGTACTAGGATATAATGATTATCCAGAAAGAACAAGATTATTTGATGCTGACACGGAGGAGCATCCATACTATGCAAGTCTAGGTGCTGTGGGAGATTTTACTGATGGACTTTTAAACTGGGCATACGATCGTCAATGTGAGTGTGACCCCATAAATAAGCCCTATTATTTGGACTGTCTCCAAGATCTAGCCCAAGGTCGAGGGAGTGATGACCTCCAGACCAAAGTAGTTATGGCAACCTCAGCTGGAGATTACGGTTTAAAGGACCTTAAGAATGCATATGGTTTGTTCGGGATCAGTCATGAGACCACTGAACCCGATGAAAATATAATAGACCTTTACAGGTCATATTTAGAGTCAACACCGCATATGAAAGATGAAGCGAATAGCTGTCTCCGTATCATCGCAAAGCATAGAAACAGTGCAAGAATTGAGTCTCTCGCTAATGAAAAACATATGAATTTTCACGAAGCATTGGAATTCTTAGGTGTTGGCCCTGATACCGCCCCTGAGTTTATTGAGGCTTCAGCAGTAGCAATGGTGAGAGGATCTAATTGGGAAAAAATAATATTAGTATGTTGATTTGTCTAGTTTGCCGACGGTGATAAGCAAAGGGTTACTCTCGCACTCAAGACAATCGCAGAGCAGAAGCCATGTGATATTACACTTCAGCGAGCGGCTGTCACAATGGCTTCAAAGACAGGAGAGGTTATTATTAGTGTCATAGATGCTTACAAGTATTTACAAATCCCTTCAAACACGATTTCTGACGAGGGTATCCTAAACTACTTCCAATCTCTACACGATAAAGCTTCACCTGCATTTAAAGAGCGCTTATCTGAAGCTGTAAGGGTAATTGCTCTGGAAAGAAATAGCAGCTTTTTACTAGCTAAGCTCCAAGATCCAGACGCCGAGGTACAGGCCAGCACAGCTGAGCCCGTCGGACTCGATAATATTGGCAACACATGTTATCTCAACAGTTTACTCCAATATTATTACACGGTGAAACCGCTTCGAGATATGATCATAAACTTTGATAATTATCGCATGGAGATTAATGATGAAAACCTCAAGAAAAAGAAAGTAGGCGGTCGCCAAGTTGAAAAGGCCGAAATAATTAAGGCTCAAAGGTGTATGTATCTCCCTAATTCTTCACATAACTTGCGCATTGACTTTAAAAGTTGTAGGAGAATTACGTAAACTCTTTATAAAACTAAAAACAGCGTCTACAAGCTCGGTCAGACCCACAAAAGAGCTCGCTGCCTTAACGATTTTTAGCACTCAGGCAGAGCAAGCGGCTCGAAAAAAGTCCATTAACGTTATTCCCGAAAGCAAGACCAGCCTCGCTCAGGTCTGGCAAGACCAAACTTCTAGTCGAATCTTTTCATCACCGCAGGTGATCGGAAACGAAGTGGAAATGACTGAAATCATAAAAGAAAAAGAAGTCGATAGATTAGATACTAGCAGTGAGGCCACATTGGTTGATGCTAATTCCTCGTATAGCGAAGAATTTAAATCTAAAAATTGGAGCCCCACTCACATAGACTCAAATATTGAGGAAAAAGAATTCAAATATATGCTTAATTCAGAATCTGGAGCAGACACTATCACAACTAATAATGTTTCTGTAGAAGCTTCTCCCAGTGCTGTAGAGATGCCAGAAATTCCGCCACCAATCCCACCTCGAAACAAGGCAGGCTTAGTTATCACCACAGATGAATCTAACGATAGTAATTCAGTTGATAAATTGTGGGATTTTGGCTCTCAACAAGACGTAACTGAAGTGATCGGGAATGTGCTTTTCCGACTTCAGTGCGCTATCACTGCTACTGGATACGAATATCCTTCGGGGGAACAAATCGACATCATTCGCGAAAGTTTTTTCGGTGCAAACACGGTATATACACAAAAATCTCATAGTCTACAGCAGAAAGTTGAAGCTTGGTCATACCTCCTTGTATTTCCTGCAAAAAGCATGACTCGTAGCATATATGAGGCACTCGACATCTCTTTCGATGAGCAAATGGTAGAAATAGATGGTTATCTTGTGCCACAATACACTTCCATTAGTAGACTCCCTCGAATCATGCAATTTCACATACAGCGTACGGCTTTCGACCAAGAAAATCTTAGATCTTGGAAGAATCGAACCCCTGTCACAATACCAGAGACTTTATATCTTGATAGATATATGGATGACTCTGACGATCCTAACTCAGCAATTTTGCGTCGGCGTCGCGAGACTTGGATATGGAAAAGACAGCTTGCCGCCCTCGAAGCAAGATACGTCACTCTTTTAGACACTCAGGCAGACTTGAATGTTCCTGACGCTTTGATTGCCACTCAAGAATGGATCAGTAAAATTCAGGAACTCGAAATTGATGGAATTAAAATCAATCCTGAACTCCCTGAGCTTTTGGAAATGCGTATTTCCGAAATTTCTCATGAAATTGACCAAATAAGTATGAGAATAGCCGTGCTACAGCAGAATCTGAAGAATCAGTTCACAGATATGCGTAAACACGAATATAAACTTCATGCCCTCTTTATTCATCATGGGGAAGCCGGGGGAGGCCATTATTGGGTTTATATCTACGATTCAGTGCATGATATCTGGCGACAATACAATGACGAACATGTGACGGAAGTGAGAAACCGAGACTTCATATTCAAGCATGAAACCGTCGGTGGAGGCACTCCCTATTATGTAGTCTACGTCCGTAGCTCTGAACTAAATGAGATAGTGAATCCAGTATTTAGGGAAGTTTTAAACACTGAAACGGACAATACTGATCACCGCTTAACCAATGAGGTACCTGAGGGATTTTCCGCATCAAACTGCGCCAAGGCTACCGATGAGATAGGAAACATCGAATATGTCAGCTAAAAGTTCGCATGCCTACTTATTACTGACACGTCAATCATATTCTATCGGTAAACGAGGGTTGAGATTTCTTACAAAGTGACAGGGGAGCGATAATCTTCTAGATGCACTGGTCGGCACCGGATTAACGAATTAAGATGATACACTGCAACTGATTTGGAAATCAATCTACAAATGGATGCTTGGGGATTTATTTCTGTTGAAGTATCAGTCACTGAGCCTTAGAAGACATGTGACTTGATTTGTAATCTGGTCTCAATTAAGGTTTATATAATGTATCGTAAATGTGGAACGCAGTAGTCAGTATTTCAAGCATACCAAAAAAGTTATAGGCATTCACCAGTAGTACAGCTTTCTGACATTATCTTCCTTCAATAGATTATGAGACCAAATAGCTCATTGAAATCATAACTGCTTTGTGTTAATAAATCTCCTAGCTTACAGTATCACTATCTTTCTTGAACCATAAGGGGTCTCCGACCTGTGGCAGAAGGTAGAAATATGATCATCGATTATCCACAACTTTTCGACGTTATCAATATAGAGGTTATAGCTTTAGAAAACTTCCCGATGACTGACGTACACCACGAGGTTTCAAGAATCCTGTACCATTTTGTCTCTCGCTCTAACCTAAAACTTATGGGTCAAGAAAACTATCAATATTGAAAATTTCGCTCGCCTACACGAATTATGAAGGTTCTAACATCCGAAAGCACCAGCTCCTCCAAAATTTGTAGATGAGTTTGAAGAAGGTATGTCGGAAGAAGAGTACAGTAAATACAGCGAGTGTGCAAAGGGAGATGCTAAGATGAAGTTGCGCATTTCGAACAATGTCTCGTCATCAATCTTATCTCAGTTGAATAACCTCAACACTACCAGAGAAATGTGGGATATGCTTTCTAACCAATACGAAAGCTCTAAAATTGTTTTGAATCAGCAGGCCATTGCTAAGTATATCAAGCCATGGCACACAGATTACTCCTCAATAGACGAATATATCATAGTTTTCCAAAACGCAATTCATACCTTAAATTGCCTAAATATTCCGCCTCCTGAATCATGGCACTCTCTTGTCTTTTTAGAAGCATTGAAGGACTCAGATCCTGTGTGGGTAGAAAAGCAAAGAGCAGCCTGTAGGGAAAAAAGGTCAGTCTCTCTCAACGAACTTATACATAATATAAAGGATGGAGCACGAGCCGATAGCAACTCTAGTGGAAGTCAAATGGCTCTCTATGTAAAAGATAATGATATGAGCAAACCTAGGCCAAAGCCTATGGATTGTAAGATCTGTGGAAACTTAAAAGCTCGGCATGCAAAAGGAAAGTGTCTTGAAGATCCCAAAAATAAAGACCTTCTCAAGCAGTTGAAGGATAAGCATAAGAAAAAATGGAGAAAGTTCAAGGATCAGAGTTACCAAAGTTCCAGTGGGAAAAGCAAAGCAGAAGACGATGATACCGATAATGAAACTCCACGATTTGGAGGCATTGCCTGCATTATCATGTCTGTTTTTGTTGCAAAAAGTATCGATCGTTGGCTTCCTGATACGGGCACATGGTCATATATTGCAAATTCCCTGGACAAGTTTGACTACTATGAGTAAATCCCTAATCTCCCTCTGATAACGACCGTGAATGAACCTGCTTAGAGGCATGGCCTTGGTACAGTCACTCTTCATTGTAAGTTATAAAATGGGGAGAACAACCCTTTTGAGCTAAAGAACGTCTTGTACCTACTAGAGTTTCCAATAAACCTTTTCAGTGGCAATAAACTACTGAAATTAGGAGGGTATATGAAAGATGGTAAAAAATACGGCCCCGATAGAATTGAGATTGCCACTTACAATAACTCTCTTTACATCAACGAATCATTTGTTACTGTCGCACTATCAGCAATAGTCCATCAATCAAAACCTAGCTTCAACCTATGGCACCGTCGACTTGATCATCTAGGTTTAAGAAATTTCAGGGGAACCGCAAACATAACCACATAAATTTTTTTGATGCTAACACGTCAATGACTCCTCCGAGTCTTTGCGAATCATATGAACTATCCTAACTTCTCCGAAATGTAAGGAAAAGTGTTTCATCCTAACCTCGCAATTCTTTAAACTCAGTTTCAGTAGATGTTGTAATTATAAATCCATTTGGAAAAACCTTGATTGATGATTCTTGGGTGTCTGTACAATACTTTACGATGTTTACAGATTCGGCAACATTTTTGCGATAGGAATATTTTCATAAGGAAAAAATTGGTGCAACAGAAGCCATTAAATATTTCAATTCCCTGATGAAAACTCTGTATGACGCTGTAGTTAAACTCTGGAGAATAGACGGTGGGAAGGAATATTCACCGAAGATGATTGGGAATTTAGCTGCTAATTTAGGCCAAATCATCGAAACCACGACTCCCTATTTTCCGGAGCAAGATGGGCGAGCTGTGCGATCTATTGGCATCATAATAGCCAGAGTTCGCACAGTCCCTATTCAAAAGAATATTCCAAAGTTCCTCTGGCCTGATTTAGTGAGATCTCAACTTCATACAGCCAATCGAACCGCCACCTCAGTACTGAACGGAGAAACAACTATTCAAGCGTTTAACCGACATTTCACAGGAGTTGATGAAAAACTCGACCCAGGTCATGTTAGGTTTTTGGGTTGTAAAGTCTACATCCCAATACCTGTTGAAAAAAGGGTTTTATCCCAAAAGCTAGACAAGCAAGCAGAAATCGGTATCTTGGTCGGTTGTAAAGGACAGCACATTTACCGTATATTTATCCCTTTCAAAAGTAGGGTGATTCGATTTTCAACTGTGCGGTTTGACGAGAATAGTTGTTAGACACTGAGGGTCAAATGAAAAATGTAAAGTAAAGTGGTATTGATGAAATCTCTGCTCCTCAACTCCTCTCCAGCAGTGATGCTATATACCCATCTGAAACTATTTCGAGGAGAGATTATCTTCTCCTCGTTTCCCAAAATTACATATGAAATATATTACATGTGTTGAAGATCAAAAGATCTCATGTTAGAGCTTTGACTATCCTGAACATCCTGAACATCCTAATCATCCTGAACATCCTAGTCATCCTGATCACCATATCCCTGGTGAGATATCAAAGCTCGAGTTAGTTAATCTGACAAGATGTGTCATCCCACTATCCAATGATTCTCATTACCATATTCAGTAGGTTCCAAACCATCAGATGTTTGACAATAGTAGTCTAACCTTCTTATCTCCTGATGAAGAACTTTGGGAACCCATATCCTACCTCCCGAACATTAACGTTGATGAAAGTAGTGACGAAGAAATTAGTACTTCCAATCAATATGAATCATCCCCAAACTTACTCACTCCCTTTCGAGCACCTAAGTTTTGACAGGTATATACAGGATGGAGAACATGAAGGAGAACATGAAGGAGTGAAAAATGAGTTTAGTGAAGCTGGTGATAAAGAGAGTGCTGTTAGTCACTGGATGGAAACACCTGTAAATGAAACTTTATCAGTTGAGGAAACTCGACTGGAAGAAAATTTACTAATGGAAAATCTTGAGGATCCGCCAGCAACAATGACAGTCGTACCACGCGATAGACCGCCCGGAAGTAAGAATAAGGTGTACCAGAAAGTAAATTGAGTTACTCGCAGCACAGCTGAAAGCTCCGTGCCAGATCAAGGAACGGCCTTTTTTAGTTTTGTGACTGGGTCACAGTCTCTTCTCACCGTTGATAATACACCCGATCTAAAAACTCTTGTAGAGGCAATGAGAGGCAAGGATTCTTGGAAATGGAAGGAGGCAATTGATTGCGAATACAGATCACTTGCAAAGAAGAATACATGGTATCATGTTCGACGGTCTAGCCTACCAACGGAAACGAAGTTACTATCAAGTAAACTTGTTCTGAAGACGTAACGTAAAAAAGAGGGTCAAATTCTGAAATACAAGGCACGCTTGGCTGTTAGAGGATTCGAGCAGGAGTACGGACGTGATTGAACACAAACCTGGGCAGGTGTTTGCCGTAACACGACCCCGAAAATTGCCATTACCTTAGCATCCAAGTTTGACTTGGAGATTGAGCAGATAGATGCCGTTACTGCTTTTATTAATAATGGTACTGTTGATAAAACACGAAGTAATACAAATTGGGTGCCGTCACGAAGTCAGCTGTCAGTCACGAAGTTGGTGAATAAAGTCAATTAACTGGTATCTTGAAATACATAAAACGTTGTCTCCCCCTTCTCCTCTCCATCTCCCCTTTCTTCTTCTACTCCAAGCGCCTCGCTAATGAGCTAATTCAGATCACTGTCAGTGCCTCAACTACAACCTGAATACCGCAATTAGATAGAACAATTCATACTGCCCAAATATGATCCTTTTATCGACAAGTACAGATGACGATATTCACGTCGAAGTACCACCAGAATGGATAGAACCAGACACTACCTCAACTCGTCCGTTTGTATGTAAGCTTGAAAAGGCTTTGTACGGTTTGAAGCAAGTTCCAAGATAATGGCAAAAGCATCTTCGAAATCATCCGGCTAAAGTAGGATTTGAACCACTAGCTTCCAATAACTATCTGTATCTCAGTAATTCGACAGGAATTCTTATCGTTACATACGTAGATGATTACCTGATCATTGGAAGAGGTATTGATCAGATCAATCTACTCAAAGAAATGCTTGCGGATAAATTTCAGCTTAAAAATCTCGGACCGGCTAGCTACTTCCTTGGTGTTCGTGTGACAAGAGCTCGCTCTCGAAAAAGAATTTACCTCACTCAAGACGTCTACGCGTGCCAACTTCTCGAGAGATTTGGCCTCGAAAATTTCAGACCTATTGATACGCCAATGGCTGCTAGGTTCGAAAAATTCTTGATTCCTAATATCGACACTGCAGCAACAGTACAGATTAAGCAGTACTAGTCTAAAGTTGGCTGCCTTTTTGTTGTGATTGGTAAGTATTAACCAAGATAACCACGTGATACTCATCATGAACGGACTTTTGTATGTCT